CCCCCCCCCCCCCCCCCCCCCCGCCGGTCCCCGACAGCTGTCTCTCCCGGAGCATAAATCCTCCACGGTTTTGGATGCTCCTTGCGGTTCTTGGTGCTTGCAATAACACCGTACTCGTGGTTTGACCAACCGTTCCACGGATGATGGCGTTACGTCGCGAACGCCAGGCGTTGTGGCACAGCTAGCTGTTGCCCCATCATCTGGATCTGTGCTTTGATAGCATGCCGCCTTCGAGCCGCTACATGTTTTTCTGTTTTTTGTGACTTTTTTTCTACGTCATACGCAGTCGTACGCTAAACGCGTGTTTGGGTAGTGTGAGCTTCTTCTATCGTTGCAATAGTTCCCCCGACCTTCGCGCTTTCGCCACGACCGAACCCCGTTTTGATTCAGACTGGTTCCGTCGTTGGTGATGTGATTCTTGGTAGTCATCACTGTGTAGTATGGGGATGGTTTGGAGTATTTGTCGGGGATGAACTATTTTCTCCGATCCTAGTTGCTTTTGTTTTTTTCATGTTTTGTCTGATTTGGAAAGTCGCATCTTCGATCTTTATTTGAAANCAGACTGGTTCCGTCGTTGGTGATGTGATTCTTGGTAGTCATCACTGTGTAGTATGGGGATGGTTTGGAGTATTTGTCGGGGATGAACTATTTTCTCCGATCCTAGTTGCTTTTGTTTTTTTCATGTTTTGTCTGATTTGGAAAGTCGCATCTTCGATCTTTATTTGAAATTGAGTATTGGATTGAAGATAAAGTATCTGCATCTACGACTTCCCAGGGTGGGCTAATGCAATGGAGCAACTAAATATGAGCATTGTACGAGCGTTTCATGAACGTTGTATGAGCGCTTATATTATTGGATATTTTGAGTTTTCTTGATATGGATAGTTGGCGTCGTCGAGGGGTATTGAAATAGCTTGAAGAAGGAAGATCAAAATCCCAGCCCCGCTCCCTCACTCTCCGAGTGGGCGCTGAGCGGACCTGGTCTAAGAAGACTGAAAGAAGAGATCAAACAACAACTGTGAGTACCCGAAGCCAGGAGCATCGAACTTGCTCCCTCCCCCTTTTATTTCCTTGTTCCTCCATAACAAGACAGCCTTCCTGAACCATGCAAAATGTATAAAGTATGCAGCACCTGCTTATTATGTCAAACTATGCATACATACGAAAAAAACTATCGGGATCATCGCGACAGGGCCACAGCGGTAGTAACGCATTTATTTTTCATCTCCGTGAAGCAATAATATTTTTGGTGAATGGGGGAGATGGGCATTTATTTATTTAGATAAAAATATTTTTTATATTTATTAGTTTTTTTTTTGCTATCCATCTCCTCCCTGCCTGGCTGGGTGTGTGTGTAGACTATATATTATATACATACACACATACATACTACATACATATACCTCTTTGTGAAGCTACGTACGTACGGTTACTTGGCATTCATTCCACGATTATTTCCTGTTTCCGAACATGTTTTATTTCTCATGACCAGGAATGAATGCCATTTGCATGAAAAAGCCATGCATGCGGGAAAATTCAGTGTCCGGATGCAAAATGACCCTTCCTTCCACTTCTTTTACCAATTAGGTATAACAAATAAATAATTAATGCACCCTTGGTGGGGACACCAACCTTCAGGAATAATATATAGAACAACATATTCGCCTGATTGAGAGCGTAGCATCTGATTGAGAGCGAGATTGCGCGATACGCTGTAGCCGGACTACCACTGCGAGGTGGAGCTTGCTGTGTAGCTTGAATTGAAGGGCTAGCCCGTAGCTTCAAGCCGCTACCCTGGTCATCCTGTGGGAGTCTCTCGTTGTGGAACTACAGCGGGGAGCAGAAGCTACAGCAGAGCCCACCGCCCGACGCGATACCGCCCTGAAACAGTTTGAGCAGAAATAGCCAATCTGGGCAAATCTAGCAACTTGTCTAGCTCCTCGCTGCAGCATCCGATGACGATGACACGCATATGCTCGCGAAGCTGCTGATGAGACCTTCAATTTGCACCGCTTCTTGGAATAGCCCGTCCCCTACTTGCCAAGAAATGGCAAGAGGCGTCTGGACCCGAAATTTCAATTTTTTTGGCTCTCGCTCTCAATCAGATACTTCGCTCTCAATCAGGCGAATATGTTGTTATAGATAGGTTGATTTCACACTGCTCTACTGTGAGGTTTTCAACGCCAATTTGTCTCCAGACACTATCCATTACACTCGCATGATTCCCTGCTATCAGAAACAAAAGTCCGTTTTGAAATCCAAGCATTTCTCGAAGAGACATGCGGCAAAAATGGTAAATGTCTATTCTCTTCTTCCCTCTCGCTCGCTCGCTCTCGGGCGCGCGCTGCGCGCGCACAAAAAGTTTTCGTATTACGTTGCGCGGCCTTCGGCGGCGGAATTAAATTAAAAAGCTGGCCCGGTGCACCAAAAAATTGCCGAGCAGAGAGCAGCCAGGAGCAGAGCGCATGGTACTCTGCTGCTAAGCACTCGCTGTCGCGTCCCATGGTGTCAACACGTGGGAAGTCGAGAGCCATGCGGGTAAATGCGCTAGTAACTGCCGTGTTGGCAGCCTCCGTGGCCATGTCTTCTTGCTCCAGGGTACGAGCATTTTGCGTTCGCTCCAGCTCCCGAGCACATCGTCCGACGCGCCGCTCGTCCTTGACACGCACAATCATGTCACATCGACGAAGAACGCAGCATGCACGAACAACAACACCGCCGTTGCACATGGCCTTCGATCCAGACGTTACGCCTGGCGCTTTGGACGCTTTCCACGCCTGGCTCACCAAGTCTGGAGTTAGACTCACAGACAACGCGGTCCTCGCCGGCAGATCGCCGCTGGCGGGGGGGCGGGGCTTGGTGGCCACCAAGGCTATCGAGACCGGGCAGTCGGTGTTGGCGATCCCGCAGTCTCTTGGCCTGACCGCGGCGGGGCTCAAGAGTTCGGGCATCGCGCAGTACGTGAAGGGGTTCGAGGGCTGGACCGGCGAGACGGGCCTGATCGCCTTGCAGGTCTTGTGGGAGAGGGCTCTGAGGGAAGGATCCAAGATGGCACCATGGATCGCAGTCTTGCCCACGGAGGGAGAGCTCGAGATGCCGCTCTTCTGGGGCGAGGCTGATCTTACGCTGGCCGACGCGTCTTCCACCAGGGTGAGGAGGTTAACAGTAACTTGGCGTCCGCTCTTTCATCGCCAAGCATTTAATTGGGAACGCATCTACAGAAATTTGGTAGGACGAGGGCACCAGATATCATGTAGACTAGAAACCCGCCGCATTTTTGCGCATGTTTCTCGTGACGACGTGTGTGCACTTACTGGTACTTGCCGCATCTTCCGTGGTCCGACACCAACTCTCGTTTCGCCGCGTCCTGAGGCTGGCAATATGCTGTGTTATCCGCGCGCTATGACTTGCAAGGGCCACGTGGGCTGTCAGGGGCTATGAAGTATGCACTGAGCGGGATTTGTTGTACTGACGGTGTGTGGGGTTCCTTGTATTTCGGATGGAGAAAGCGAGCAACACACAAGACTAGCGGGTATACCTCTCGAAGTGGTATGACAAGCAACTCATCGTTTCCATAGGTCGCAGACATCCCGAACCGCTGGGATATGCCGTTTACCAGAACACTTGGCCTCCTACTTTCGGGTCTACCCGTGTCTATCGGACTCAGAGGTTTTCCCGCGGGGACGGCTTCCCAGCCGACGGCGTGTACATTCCAGTTCACACTGCTAAACGCACGGGCGAGAGTGTAATATTGACCATGTATTGTTTCCTGTCGAACTCTTTGGCGGGCGCTGTACCCTCGCACGTGCCGCGCACATGGCGATTCTCACAGGGGATATCCGGCTTCGTCGCCGACGTAGACGAAGATTTCGCTTGGCTCAGCGAGAACGCTTTCTCGAAGCACCCCAAGGTCTTCCCCGCCGATAAGTTCGGCCCGGGCGACTTCCGGTGGGCCGTCGGGGTAGCGCTGTCACGGTCTTTCTTCGTCGACGGAGAGCTCCGGCTTACCCCCCTCGTTGACTTTGCGAACCACTCGTCGTTGCGGGGAGTGTCAGAGCCGACAGGTGGGTATCAGTGAGAAGCGCACAGCACGTACTTCGTTATCTTTGCGCTATCCCGAAAGATCGCATGTACTACTGCAGGTGTACGTCGTGTCTACCCTGGACCTGGTTCCGACCAACACACCTGGCATGGCGGCGGAACTGCGGTGGCAGGCATGTCCCGACGTTCTGACGACGCGATGACGTGCTATCACGCGGCTAGTGTGGATTTTTTCAGTCGCCCGCGATGATGCCAACGCCGCAATTCGCTAGGCGAGGTTTCCCACCAGCTCAACGCGCTATAATACATATCACGCGCTGATATCGTTGCTCCTTGTCTGGTTGACCCGTGCTCGGCAAAGGAGGAACAACGGGCCTTTTCGGGTCGAAGGCCGTGGTGCTGAGAGCGGGAAAGAAGTACGAGGAGGGCGAAGAGTTTTTCGTGAGCTACGGCCCGAAAGGCGCAGCCGGTTACCTGGAAGAAAACGGGTACGTCTACTTTTGTGGACCATTGCTTGTCATCGCTGCTATAGGTGTAGCCCAAAAGTGTGAAGCAGTCTAGCCCCGCACCAGTAACAGGTTGCCCAGGAGCGGAGTAGCCAACGGTTGATCATCAACGGTCAAGTAAATAAAAATTTTCCGCTCTCAGCTACTGGATCGATCTGAGGCAATCCACTTCCACTGGAAGCATGGCATGACTTTTCACGGAGCTTACGTTTGTGCCCGGCATCGTCAGACCAAGATGACTTCAGACATTTTGATGCCTACTTCAGCAAAGAGAAAGGGATGCAATTGTATGACCGGACCCCGTTGCTTCTAGCAAAACGCTTTCGCTGGTGAAACTGCGCCTCATCCTGTCGTTGTTGTCCATGGTGTTGTGGCTGTCGTCCGTGCTGAGCTCCATCCAGTACCTCCGATTCCGCATTCTTCAACGGCGAAGTACCTAGTTCCCGCAATCACAAGCTACCCCGATTAAAGGTGCAAAACAAAGGCGAAGACCTAGAGAAAGTGCAACACAAAGGCGAATACAGAGCCCCACCACTCGTGAAGGGTCACCCGCTTCTTGTTAGAAGCCGTCTTCACCCTGTTCGGTTCTGCTCAGTGGGCCCAGTCGACGCGTGGGGAACAGTAGTCGCCCGGACTACCACGTGTGTGTGACGGGCCGTTCGTGTCGATACCGATCGCTTTCCGCTCTTACGTTGTGATTCAGGTTCGTGCCTCCCGTGTCTGGATCCGAGGTGACGTGTGAGTTGGAGTTCAGCATTCCGGAGGACGACAAGTTCTTCGACGATAAGGTGCGACCTGCCGTGGACTACACAACCCGGCGATACCAGCTTGACAACCTAGAAAATTATCACCGGATGTGTGTGTGTGTAGTTGTGGGGGGGGGGGGGGTAGCTTATGCCGCCCTATTTATTTGATCAGAGGCTTGTGCTATTGTTTTGGGCTGATATTGACCCGAAATATTTACATTGCCACGGGGTGCGGCATTGTGTCCTATTTTGTACATGTACGGTGTTCACGACGATCGTTGCAACGCTGTTAGGGTAGTACCGTGAGCAAGACGGCTCCTGCCGATTGGTCGCGCTATGTGCCCGGTGCCAGAGAACAGTGTTCCGGTGGCAGTCACCTTGGTGACTTTCGTCCTGGTGCGCTACAGCTAGTCAGTGAAGGACTGTATGGTGTCGGTTGTTCGTTCGAGGGCTGTTCGTGAGGCGAGAAGCAAAACAACGAGTGCTGTGCTGCGGGGACTGAGCAGAACCCCCCCCCACGACTGACCTCGTAAAAGAAGCGTTGTCGATGGCGAGATGAGACACAAGGCAAGCAACCCGGCAGCCCGTTCCCCCCCTGCCGCCCTCAGATGTTTCCCAACCCGTGTCGTGCTCGATGGATCGAGATTTTCTGCACCGTGCGCTCAGCTCGTCACTGACACCACTTGATGATGTGTGGAACGCACCCGCCGCCGACGTACAGGAAGACATCCTGGAGAGAGCCGGCTTGAGAACCTCCTCGACGTTTGATCTGACGGCGGTGGGCTTACCCGACGCTGAGGTGAAGAGTGGGGAGAATCACATTAGTACATGTTTTGTTCCCGGGTGGCTCTCTTGGTTATGGTGGCTGTGTTCGGCACCGAAGTCAGATTGTTGTAGTTTTACCTGATTGTGCCTGGACATTGCAGGAGTGCTTCTGTTGAAGGAGCTTGAACGATTGATTCCACGTGTCTAGAAGATCGTTGGTGTGTGTTGTTGCACGCGGCAGCCTCTCCGGTTTATCTTGTTTGTTCGTTCGCACGAATAAATATCAATTCGGCAGCTCGATTGCGCACGTCTCTTCTATTTTGTAGGGTCTTGGTGGAATCGAGCACGAACTGTGTTAGCCTCACGGGTTGAGTCGTCTCTACGCGGAGTTGTGTCCCTCCTCAGCACCGGGCGTCGTATGTTTTTGGTGCTGGGCATTGCATTCCTCCGTCCTTACCGACTGTCTCGATTGCATCGTTCGACACCCCCGCTGCCGGGCGTACACCTCGCTTACACCTCTGGCTACAAACAACAACGGATGCAGCTGGTTCGATTCTTGCGACTGCTTTGTGTGAGCGGTGAGGACGCGTTTCTCCTGGAGGGTATCTTCCGAAACGAGGTGTGGGACTTCATGAACGAGCCCGTCTCTCGGCCAAACGAGGAGGCCGTCAACGAACTCCTAGCCACAAGGTGCGCGTTCCAGTAAACCAAACTTTCCCGTCTACAATGATCCTGTTGCAAAAGGAGGAACGTCGTAATGGCATGTGGTATTCGGCGGATCGCGTGCTGTGCTGAGCTGCTACATCACCGGTGGTCGATTTGTCGGGCAGCATGGACGGAGAACTCGTGGGATGCGCAATGGTTGAGCAAACCTTCTTGCCTGACCATACCCGTCTGTATCTTCTGTGGCTGCAGGTGTGAGGAAGAGCTCAAGGCTCTCTTCGGCACGGCCAGGGAGGAAGCGGACATCGTCAGCGGGAAGGTAGAAGCGAGCGAGCGACAGCGCCTCTGCGCGAGGGTACGGCAGGGGGAGCGGATGGCGCTACAGGTAGGGGTTCGAATTTTTTTTTAGCCAACGACAACGACCGTCAAGGTCACGGATGGGTGGCGTGGGGCTGGCGCACTCACCTAAGCGCTCTGCTGTGTCCCCCAAAGCCTTTTTGGTAACGTCGCCAAGAGTGACGGGCAGATCTGATGGCACTGCTGCTGTGGACCCCTGGCCTGTAGGTTACGTACTCGCCACGATAGCGAACCAACCGGGTGTTGCTATTTTCTTGCCGGAAAATCCTGTGTGCGTATTTCACTGCAGAGGGCAGGTGCTGTCTAGGTCGTGTTCTGCGGCAGCCCGTGTACACGTACATTGAGAGCTTTTATTGTGTGCAATAACTGTTTCGTGACGGTTTAGACTTTGCTCCATGGATGGGTTGACTCAATGGAAAATATTGGGAGAAGTTTTTTGGAATGGTGCATTTCATCATTGCGAAAGTAGGGATGCACCATTTTTTATGTCCGATTGACGACGGGTCCCGTCGCTCTACTCTCCGCGTTGGTTTGTGGTTTCTCATGTCACAGATGACCAGAAGCTGGTGCGAATCAGACAGCAAGGCTCTCGACCGCAAGGAGTACTACCAAGAGCGCCGTCTGAAGGAACTCCAGCTGGATCTCCCTTGGGAGGCACGTATAAAACTTGAAGCCTAGTTAACTTTCCTTAACATTGTAGAGTGGTATAACCGAACAACAGCGGTGGTAGAACGGTATGCTGTTTGCGGTCGAGTGTGCAAGTATCATGTCCGAGGCTTGATGCTTCCAAGTGCGTGGACGGTCTGTCCTGCGTTTTGCTCGCTTACGCACAGGAGCGTGCCTAAGCAGAGTCCCGAAGCAGACCTCTTTTTCACTGATATTTCGTTTCTTTCCTCCGTCTGGCAACCCTCATCTACCCCTTGAGAGTCAGAGATGCACACACGTGCGCCGCGCGAGGCTAAGAGACGTGTCGCCCACCATGACCGCAGCCTCGTGCACAAGCCAACACTTCCGGTCCCTCTTGGCGGATCCCCTGTTTGTGCAGGTTGACGAGATTTATCCTACGGAAAGGAGGCCGGGCGGAGGCGAGTTGGACTGGTGAATACTTCTCTGATAGCTACGCTGCACTTGAGACGAGCGCAACGTGGACAGAGGGAAAAGAGGGGGGGCGGGGGGAGGAGATGCCTAACTGGGTGAATAGGCATTCATGTTCAGTTGCGGCTTGCAAGTGGGCGAAATTCGTTCTCCTGTGCATGTCCTTATCGTTTTGTTGACTGCAGGAACGGGAGGAGGGTGCGTCGAGGAGGTTGTAATGCTATTCTTTATGTAGACGAAGAATGCTCTCGACTTTCGGCATGATGCTCGATAGATCGTTTGCTCGGGTCGTCGTTTGTGTGCTTGTTTTGCCTTGAATGAATGTGTTGGACCACATGTTGTACTTCCGCTTGTTTATTTGCGGCCTTGTCTGCAACGGAGCAGGAAATTCAACAGAGGTATCTTCACGGGACCACAGAGACGTTATCTGTGATCAACCCCTCAGCAAGATATCTCGGCTACTTGTATCCAGGCAGTCTTCCTCCGAATGAAAATGAAGTGTTCGCTTTTGTTTTTCCACCACGATCGTTTTTCGATGTACAGCAGCAGTACCCCCGAATGAAACGCTTCCTTCAGATTTGCTTTCTTGTGTCTCAAGACGACAGGCGCTCTCTACACCCTACGCTTTGCGCAGAAACGAACGTTGATACTGTGTAGACTAAATGCGTGCAGTGCTCTCTCGTGTTTTCGTCAAAGAGGAAACGTTTTTTTTTGTGAATTGCAAGTGTAGACTTTGTAGCCTGCAGCAGCCGTACATATATAGGTCTAATAGTCTTACTCATCCTGAGGTCAGGGTTCTTGTCGCAGTTTTTCTCTACTCTGCCACGCAACGCGAAAGGAGTGAGGTGATCACGTATAGATGCGAAGACCTCTACCTTGTTGCAACACGTTTCATATTTCGCGTTCATGATGGCCGCCGACTTCGGTCACTGAGGAGCTGTGCAGGAGACCGCTGCGCTCCACGCGCTGCCCGAACAAATTGGAAGAAAGAGGGGGTGGGGGGCAATGTCGTGAGGTACCTGACGGCACCCCCGCATGGCGTCGTCGGATCTAACAACCCTTTCCCAACATACCATCACACACACAGCATCGATGCCTCCCTTGCTTGTAGAAAAGCTACAGAGGACAGGCTAGAGAGAGAAAAATTACAGTCGCGTGCGTGAAGGAGGGCGACGTTACGCGCCGAGGACGGCTACCGGGTTACCTCGGCGGGCGGTAGAGCTCGAGAGCTCGTTCGTCAACTCCACATCTCTGACCCAAGCTGCGACACGAAAAGCCAGTAGCACCAGGTCGCCCCTTGTTCAGCGGGGGCGACCCAGCGAAAGGGACAGGAAAACGAAGGATATAGGCGCCTGGTAGGAGTGGCATCTCTAGCAGGGCTCCTCACCAAGCGGGTGTCCCTCCACGGTTCGAATGGAGATCGAGCGGAGTGCCGAAGGTGTGAGCTTTCTCCACGACTTCCTCTCACGTTTTTCGTCGTGGTGCCGCGATCATGCCCATAACGAACAGCAGCAGCAGCAGCAGCAGCAGCAGCAGCAGCACAGCCAGGAGTCGAAAGCGACGTCGGTCGAAGCGGGAATCCTTCTCGTGAGGATCGCTGGGGAGGTGCTCTTTATCTGCTCCACTCACCTTGCTCAGGTGAGTCTCCTTTGCATAAATGACTTCACGAGTGCAATGAACACACTTTCGCAATCGCTCGAAAACATTTCAACAGAGTGCACGCTTGTCTACAACATTGGGTGAGGCTCGGCCAGTCCACCTCTTCCATCGAACTTGCACCTCTGGCGCACACTTCTGCAGGTGCCTATCTCATCAGCTTTCAGGGAGAAGTACCTCGGGAGAGTGATACGATGAAGCGTCTTCCAAATAGAAGCAAAGTGTACGGACTGGTTTACGAATAGCCCCCCCTCTACAAGCCACCTCCTGCCCAGTACGATCGGGAGGCTTGAACCAACTCTCTCGAGACATACATAGTACAGCAGTAGTTGTGGTGTGGTAAGGATCAAGGATCAAGCAGGCACACGACAATTACCGCGAAGGTGGCATTGGATTGTACACTTGCCTTTGTTTGATATCGGGGTCGGTCGGAAGGCACAGCTTTTTTGTCAAAGCGAGAAACGTCTTGCAGGGTATGCATTGAAGGTGTGTGTCCGTGTGACCTCGGCATACGCGCAGCTCTACAGCAACTACACAACAGCAGTATATAGCACAGCTCCCGTCCTGGGAAGCGCAGTACAGCACGCGCCACCCAGAAGAACGAGTAGAAATGAGACCCCGAGCACCGGGAGTTAGGAAATTCAGGCTCACAACAAAACAAGGCTTAAAAATTGACCATGCGAACAAGTGCTCAGGTAAGGATTCCACACTAAATACAACCTGTTGTAGACTATGCTGGGATACCTCCCCCACGAAGGAGAGGAGGGGAGCCTCGGACAACGTAAAGATGTTATTATAACGTACCAGGTAGGCGAAATGGCGGCGCACACTACTTGAACTGTTGTAGCGTTTCTAGGGTCAAAAGGCGGCTATTCCACTCCGATGGCTGAACGAGTTGACCGATGCAAAACCTGCCTTGTTGACAGGTGCAATAGCGACGCTGTCCTTTCGGGTAGTGGGCGATAGTGACCAAAAGCGCGTTTTGATCCACTTTTCAGGAACAACAGCAGTGCTGATTGGTCCGGCAACCGCCATTTTAGAAGAAGTAGTTCAACGCCTTCGCTGGGTGAGTCTTGCCATAGGCTTTCAAACGGAAGCGTCGGCCAGGATCCGTACTGGACCGACCCTCGACTCTTTCATGCCGGCGCTGCTACGGGCAACACGCCAGTGTGGACCGCTCGTGACCCCGTGCTGTCTCGCTTGACGTGCCTGCTATCCACCTTGTTGAGTGCGGAAGATGGATGAACAGCATCCAAGCGTGGTGGTGGGATTTCGGCGAGGGAGCGCAGCAGGCTCTGCTACTGTGTTATCGTGCGTTTTTCGCTTCGTGTCAGCGGCAGGCGGCGTACACCTGTTTGCCTTCCTCGATCTCGAGCACTGCGCACAAAACTGGCGCAACTATTGACGAGGCTTGCCAATATGAGCTGTATCTGGTCCATCACTCTGCGTCGTTCGGGGGCGTTGCACTTGAGGCTGTCTATCCCTCCCTACAAGCGCTGTCGTGTGTGCATTTGCGCGGGCCCTGAGGGTGCGATGAAGCGTTCTCCAATTGTCAGGTCTTCGATTCTATGTAGCCGATTGCGTTCTCGATTATATGTCATGCTGATGCTTCCTGTGTCATCCCACTGCTCCTCCGCCTCCGGTGCCGCCGCCCTTCGTGCTCCAAGCAGTGGCGTGCGCAAAACCCCCCAGGTGAAGAAGGGGAGCATGTGCTGCCACCCCATGTCCGGCAAGGATACCTCTACATGCTTTCGATGGCAGACTACGCCGCCGGCGAGCTATGGGTGAGTCAGCTGACAGTATTCGTGTGTGCGAAACGTTGGTTCTTGTGTCATTGCGCGGTCATGACTCACGGGAGCGCGGGGAAACACCGCGTGTTCCACCATGACACTCAAGCCCGGACTGACTATGTTGTTGTGCGCGTATGTTGCATGGAGCAGCCGCAGCTATTGTTGCAGTAGCGTCCCCGCTCGTGCCGCCTGTATGCGATTGACCACAATTTTTGGCTCGGTTTTTGGCGTTAACCGCTTTTCCGAACCGCCCGTCCTCGAAACAGCGCCTGGAATCGGTCAGTGGACGGGGGTCTGGTCAGGGTTCTACCTCGTCCTCGTCTGCGGTAGCGAGCGGCGGGGTCTGGAGCAACCTTCCCCCGGGCGCTGTATACGGTTTGAGCCACGGGTTGACGGCCTTCATCATCAGGTACTGTACACACGCTGCATGATATTTGCGCAATAAACGACTTTTTTGCGTCGTTTCTCGCGATAAATGGCTGGTCTTGGGTCGTTCTCGTCGTCCGGCGGATTCCATCTTCTCTGTTGGCTAGTTTTATGCCGACCACTGCTGTCTGGTGGTTTCAAGGCTTCGGTGACCGCTGAGCTGTTAGTAGGGTGCATGTTGAGTTTTTTGTGCGCGATCTCGCGTCGCATTTTTCTCGTACCCCAACCATGGACTGTTGAGTATTACACGCGAACAGGTTTGACCTCTCGCTATCAGCCTTCGTACGAATCCACAAAGTTTTGCTCAAAACACATGAACGTAGTGTCCTGCTGCTTGAGCACCCATGTGTGCTCGTTAGCCTTGTCGAGCTGTTGCTGTGTTTCTGTATCCGATACTTTTTACTTCCTCGCCGATACGGAAACGGCCTCATTGGTCTCCATTCTTGACCTCGAGAGTGATGCGTCAATCTAAAAAAAAATTCTTCTACCTCTTGGCGTACCCGATTCCCTAAAGCGTGCTCGAAGGAGGCATCGCCCTCCACCTGTCGCCTGCCGACGTTAACGTCGCGGTGGGGATCGTGGAAAGGCTGGCGCTTCAGGCACCCCCCGCGTCACTAGGTTACGGCAGCAACGGCGGTGGTAGGAATCCGTCGGCACGAGCACTGGTGGGTTGGCCCTCCACGCCCGTCCCGGATCTCGAAGACGCGTCTTTCGGGTTGACCGAGCCCGTGGTCGGGCCGCTGCGGGAGTCAATGAACCAGCACTTCGGCACCCCCACGGGGGGCTCGACCATCAGTGGTGGTATAATGCATAGATTAGGTGCTGGCGGGGTGGGCTCGCACTTTGCCGCTGGCAAGCCGGCGCTCTGTCTGGTCGCTGGAGATGCCCTCGGTGCCAGGCTGCTGGGGTGGTGCACGGTGTTTTGCCGGTCGCCGCAGTGGCGAGGTCTGTTCTCGGAGGCCGGCGGCGGCGGCGGCGGCGGCGGCGGCAGCGTCCTCCGACCGCTCTCGCCTTCCCGGGGGGGGGGCAGCAGCGGGGAAGAAACCGGCGCCACAGGTGCTGTTGCGGGCAAGAAACGAACCGCAGAGGATATGGAGACCGCCGGTGAGGAGGGTTCCGGTGGCGCGCAAGACGGTGGTGCCCCGACGCCGCCGCGTACGGCGAAGAAAGCCTCCGCGAGCGGCGGCAGCAGCAGCAGCGAGGGCCGAGGAGAAGGCGACCGGCCCGCCGGGCTGGCACGGCTCCTGTGCGTCGTCAGCCAGGTGGTGCGGATCGTGAAGGAGCACACCAAGGTGGCGAAGGACAAGGCCGGCGCGGTTGGGTTCTTCGCAGGCACTTCTGTCGGCGGCGGCGACCCCCGCGGCGTGCCTGTCTTCGACGTGCGCACGAGAGAGTCTTCCGGGTTGGCACAGGCGGCTGTCGGGGCCCTGGCCGACGCCGCCCTGGACGTCTTTGCTGATCACATGGAAGACCCCGCCCTTCACGGACGGCTGCGCCGAGAGGCTCGGGTCATCGGCGAGGACGCGGCGGCAGCGGCGGGGGAGGAGGGCTCCACCGGTCTGGGCCGCGGGAGGGGGGCCGCGATGGCGATGTCGGACTTGTTACCGATCGTAGACAGCACCTCGCCCGCGGAGACGGTGGGCCTGAGCGTCGACCTCATCGGCGACATCGCGTGGCTTTTCTCGTCGCTCGAGCCGGAGACGGAGGCGGGCACGGGCGGCCGCGGCGGTACCGCCGCATCCAAGTCCGGACCCGCGGCGGCGCAGCTGTCATCCGCGATGTCGTGCTGGGCGTCCGGGCGGGTCTTGGCGTGCATGCCCGGGCG